CTGCATTCTAACGCTTCAGGCCATCGTTTGATCTTATGTTTACTTATTTTAAAAGAATATTATCACGCTCTCTTTAAAAAGAATCTATCATTTTAAGTTTTGTTTCATTAAGTTATCATATTTTTAAGTCTCTATAGGACTCATTTGTTGATTGTAGGAAAACAAGGCTTTTCGTTACTTCAGGGGGGGGGGGAGGAACATTATGTTTCAATGGAGGACATGGGTGTTTTTGATGGTATCATATGTACTTTTACGAAAGTGTTTGCAGTTTTTTCCAAACGCTAATATATATATATAAGGCTCTGAATTTTTAGGTATCTTAGGATGACCAATAAGATAAATACATATTAAATTTCAATATTTACTTCATTGACCGTTTCATAAGATAGTTTTTTAAAATTTAAAGATGGGTTTTTCTCTTTGGTTTAAAGATCATCTTCACTAGCTCTTGCATATATACTGTACAAGCTATTACCACTATTTCAAGATGGCGCAGATACAATCGAGTTCATCAAATGTAAAACTGAAATTAAGAAAATAAATAATCGTAGGAACCTGTGAGATACATAATTCCGTATAAAAGCGCTTATGATACTTCTAATATCTGAAAATTAAAGATAATCTTTAAACAAAAAACAAACCAAAAAAAATCATCTTTCATTAAAACGGTCTTATGAAACGGTCGATGAAAATAAGCCAGTAAAAAATAGAACTGACAAAACCAAGTTTTATGCATAATATATTACACTTGAATTCGTTGTATATTTGTTATTATATATATATATATATATAATAACATATAATATTGGTTTGAAAAAAAACTTAATGACTTTACAGTTTCATGACTGTGGTGTATCTGCGACGTCTTTATACAATTTCCGTCAAATTGATAAGTTTCTGCAGTTAAAGATGGAAACTTTAAATTTGATTTTCGTAAGAACGATTTATATATCTGTTGTTTCGGTTTTTTATGAAACTAAAAATTCATTTGTTGCCTGTTGTGTGACCCCGTTACACCCACTTATATTTCTTTAGCCAATGGAAAAGAGGACTGACTTTTCATTTTCAGAGTTTGCGCGTATCACGTGCTCCTTACCAAAAGTTGCGTCGCAACGGGGGAGGGACGGTCGTATAAATACACCATCACCATGTAGCTAAATAGTTCATGTTCGATATCAAGGCGCAATTAACAGAACTGAAGTTTAACAACATATACCTTTGACCACCAGAGTGACACCAGAAACTTGAGAAGATATATACACTTTCTTCCTGTCCAGTAATTGGTAAGTCTTGTGTTTCAGTTATTAATTACGCCTTGTGGGTTTTCCCAGTAATTCATATACACACATTCTTAATTCATATTAAAAGGATTAAAAATGTCTTAACAGTACTTTTAATACTTTTCTTTTAAATTAGTCTAGAAATGTATTTGAGGGTACTGTTAAGGATTTATTTATCCGTGGTGTTTAACTTTGAGCTTTTCGACAACGAATTAGAATCGTAAATCACGCTAATCAAGTACAAACGAACGCAAAATATGTTACTTCTTTTAGGGGCAACGTGTTCCAGAAAGACAAACTACTTTTATTTCACATTAAAATAATATTTGATAAATAACTCTTCAAAAATTTTTAATAAAAACATTTGTCTTTTATATTTTTTCGTTTAGCCAGGTGGTTAGGGCGCTCGACTCGTAATCTGAGGGTCGCGGGTTCGAATCACCGTCACACCAAACAAGCTCGCCCTTTCAGCCGTATGGGCGTTATAATGTGACGGTCAATACCATTATTCGTTGGTAAAATAGTAGCCCAAGAATTGGCGGTGGGTGGTGATGACTAGCTGCTTTCCCTCTAGTCTTAAACTGCTAAATTAGGGGCGGCTAGCGCAGATAGCCCTCATGTAGCTTTGTGTGAAATTCAAATCAAACAAACCTTTAGCGGGAGAAATTGAAAAAAGATGTTAACTATTTTATGTACGTTATATAAACGAATTTAGGACATAACGTTAGGATATGGAGGAGACATCGTTGAATAAAATGACCTATCAAATTCTCTGAGTCATTCTAATTAAAACATTTATCTTATTTTATACAAATTTGGGATAGAATAAAGGTATTGTCTTTCAAATTTGTTCCACAAAACGTACAGTCATGTTAGATAGATCGAAAAAATGCCACTCACGATAGAAAAGTAGTTTCGAACCCTTAACTGTCAGATAGTTAGATTTACTGCTGTTCAATATTAACAGCAGTATACATTAAGTAGAATTTTAGGTGGAAATTTCATTGGTTGACTGGACACTCCATGTGATAATTTTTCTGTAGAGGTTTTTTGTTTGTTTGTTTGAAGTTAAGCACAAAGCTACACAATGGGCTATCTGTGCTCTGCCCACCACGGGTATCGAAACCCGGTTTCTAGCGTTGTAAGTCCACAGACATACCGCTGTGCCACTGGGGGCTTCTGTAGAGGTGGCTGATGCTTTGTTTTTGTAATTAAGGCTTTTATTACTTCACCAAGCCACAGTTACAATAATAATCACGTAAAGGCTTCGAAATAGAGACCTAAATACATATATATGAAGATTTACCAGATGCTGTCCTTGGGATACTCTATCCTAAACGTTTAGAGCTATAAAGCAAATGCATATAGCAAAATATTAGTTAAAAAAAGAAGTCCACCAGATAATGGGAGTCAGGTACCTAGCGCTCCATAGGATAATATATATTATATTAGTTAAAAAAAAGAAGTCCACCAGATAATGAGATTCAGCTACCTAGCGCTCAATAGGATAATATGTTATATTTTTGTATATGTATATTTTTGCGACAGAGATTATTTATAACCTCATTTTGCAGTTGCAAAAACCATCATTTAGTTATCATTCTGATTAGTACGGATCTGATCAGTTTTGCCCCCTAATGAAGAAAGGTCCACCTTTTTATATTTAGGTACTTTTTCCTGTGTGGCCTACACAGGCCTTTACTTTTAAGGATTTACTTACTTAATTCTTTGCGCGCCAAGTGACACATCAGGCTTCCACATACTCTCCCCAGCTGGCTATATCTTGGGCAATTGCTTGGACCTGTCCCCAGGTTGGCTTTGCCTTGGATTTGAATTCTGTTTCGGTAGATCTTCATCATGTCGTTTTGGGTCTTTCCCTTTTCCATGACTCCTCTTTTTTGATGCTGTCCTATTATTTCCTTATCAAATGGCCTATCCACATCCATTTCCTCCTAGAGATCTCTACCACGATGTCTTCCTGTCTTGTTCTTTCCTGACAACATGGCTTATCCACGTCCATTTCATCCTAGAGATCTCTACTATGATGTCTTGCTGTCCTATCTTCCTTCTCACTTCTTTGTTTGACATCTGTGGATGAACACACGTAGCTTCGTGGTAATTTCTTCAATTGTTCTCCAACAGTCTGATCCATAGAGCAATACAGATTTCACATTGGTATTGATGAACCACAGTTTGGTCTTGAGAGAAATCTTCACATTGAAGGAGGTTACTCTTAATTGAGTAATGTAGCAGCCGGCAGATGGGGCTGCCATTACATTTTATTTGTTTGTTGTTAAGAGCAAAGCTACATAATGGACTGTCTGTGCTCTATCCATCTCGGGTATCGAAACCCAATTTTTGGCGCCGTCATCCTCAGGCTTACCGTTGAGCCATTATAAAGTTAATTATCTGATATGACTCTTTTCACTTTAAAATCAGCACTAGTAAGATTCCACAGATGTAAACCAAAAAGTCTTCAACATTAACTTTATATGCTAAAGTTTAGATTTTAGAATGATGAAGAAATTAAAATATTTTTTAAAATAAAATATTAGGAATTTTGAGGGGGAAATTACAATTAAAAAAAAACTTTATCGTTTGTTTGACTGATTGATTTTTAGAGGAAAGACAAATTTGGCTACTTGCTGTGTCCACTGCGGAGAATATCGAACTCCGGAGTTTAGCGTTGTAAGTCCGGTAGACTTACCGCTGTCCCACCACGGGAGAAAACTATATCATAAATAGAATAGTCCCTGATTAATTTTAATAAACATAAATAATCGTAGTTAATATAAATGTGCATTAAAAAGTGATCAAGGAAACTACATTAAAACAAAAATGTGTGACATAATTTTTATTTCGTAACAAAAATGAATTGTATATTCGAATGTATGACTAGAACAGAGACGTCGACTTAGTGTTTGAATGATATTTCTTCGCGAATTTTAGAAATTAATTACTTTCTTTGATAACAAAAAGCGACAATAGATAAACGGCACCACTCGCAAAAAATACTTGTCACTCTGTTAATTTATTTTACGTTAACTGTTTTCAACATAAACATCCGGTGATGAATGAGATAGTAGTTCAAAAACATTTGAGAAAGCAAAATGGAAAAATAAGCGGTTTGTTTAAAACAGGTATTTTCGATTTAGTGTAGGAACTCATTCTTATAATTCTATCTAAAAAGATAAGCACGAAAATACAACTATCTACAGACTCGTAATCCTACACTATGATGGAAAAACTGGAGATATTATCTTTTAAAACTGATGCAGAATTGTGAATTCTCAATGATGGATCAAACAGGTATCTGTTTGAAATTAAAGATAAATGGCAAATAAAACAAACTATTCAAACTCATATTTTATCATCTTCTGCAAGATATAGAAAACGCCTCTCTTCGTTTGTTCTTCATTCGTAACGCAACATGGAAAATCAGGGCTAATGTTTGTAAACCGGATCGAATATCATAAATCCTGAAGATATATAGTTATATGATTTCCAATGTTACTTTTTCTCAACTTCTATTAGTGTTCAGGTTTCGTTGCTACAACTTCGATAAAACAACACCCATTACTTTGGTTTTTAATAGAATACTGTAAACTCGTCGAAATTGCGATAATACTGCAAAGTGGAATCTAAAAACCGTGTTTTTTTTACTATTAGATATTGAAGGGGTTTATATATTGAGGTTTCCATTATTTTAAATTGAAATGTAGAAACTATTCTTTCAATTTTTCGATACCTTTACCTGTTTCCGTTAATTCTCGATTATAAAACACAATAAACATACAAACACCAAACATGTCTATATTAGAATGTTTTTGAAATGGTTTTGAATATTAAGACATTGAACTAGACTTTTTTAATTAATAATTATTGTTTGAACACTGGAAGCTAAAACTTTGTAGTAAAAATTACATAAGTTGCAGATTTGTTCCGTAACTTTTAAAAGTTTTATACTGCATATATAAATAACGTTTCAGAGAATCTTTTGTCTCTCATCGTCCAACGCAACTGACGAGTTCTGGTACTGAAAGAAAAGCTTCTTCGGCAATGACTTGTGAGAGACAAAATATAGTTCTGAAATGCTATTTTTGAACGCCTCTGATTTAGAATAAGAAATGAAAAAAATAAGAAGAATGTCGAGAATAAAACATCCGCGGTTTATTTGATTTTTATCACAAGTTTTAAACTTTATTAATCTTAAAATAAAACATTTAACTTTGAACTTTGATTTTGGTCTCTTTTTATGATATACCAATTCTTTAGGTTACGCAGTCTCTAAGTTTCTGTATTTGCTTGGTGGGTACCTTGCCGATCTGTATATTTGCTTGATATCTTGCCCCTCCCTAATGGAACTTACCTATAGTTGGTGGTTATATCGCCATTTCCTAATGGAGTTTACCTATACTTGGTGGTTATCTCGCCACTTCCTAATGGGGGTCACCTATATTTGGTCATTATCTCACCACTCTCTAACAAACTATACCTATAGTTGGTGGTTATCTCGCCACTTCCTAACGGAATTTACCTATAGTTGGTGGTTATCTCGCCACTTCCTAACGGGGGTCACCTATATTTGGTGGATATCTCACCACTCTCTAACAAACTATACCTATAGTTGGTGGTTATCTCGCCACTTCCTAACGGAATTTACCTATAGTTGGTGGTTATCTCGCCACTTCCTAACGGGGATCACCTATCTTTGGTGGTTATCTCGCCACTTCCTAACGGGGGTCACCACTCTCTAACAAACTATACCTATAGTTGGTGGTTATCTCGCCACTTCCTAACGGAATTTACCTATAGTTGGTGGTTATCTCGCCACTTCCTAACGGGGATCACCTATCTTTGATGGTTATCTCGCCACTTCCTAACGGAGGTCGCCTATATTTGATGGATATCTCACCACTCTCTAACAAACTTTACGTATATTTGGTGGTTATCTCGCCACTTCCTAACGGAGTTTACCCATATTTGGTGGTTATCTCGCCACT